TTGGGCAGTCCAAACCACATAAAACGGAGTATGTTTGTAAAATCTCAGGCCCCCCCCCCCAACAAAACCAACCATTTTCTCCTCTATTGTAAAACAGGAAAACATTACTTATTAAATTAGTATTTTGACACCACTAAAACAATGAATGAGTTTTCCCATTTGCATTTTTTTTTTGTAAAAAATGTACAAAAATCAACATTTGCGAGAGTCCTACTATCATCTCTGAACCAAGAACACTTGATTTATTTCCCCGCTAGCAGACAGTGGTGGGAGAAAAGAACATTCTGACCAAATGAACTTTATTTGACCTCATTTTCACGACTGAATGTCCACCCGTCTCATGTGTTGGGACTTTTTGCACAATTTGCTGTACTGACCTGAAGATGTACGACATTTAAAACAGCGGTGAAAATGTAAGACCTACTTCTTTCCAGCCTCTATGCAAAGGTGCCAGACGGTAAAACGCAAGAAGTGGTTCAAATTGTGTCAAAGGTATTGCAAACTTTAAGTTGGAGATGTGCATATAAGAGTTTAGAGGTCAAATTAAGTTCACCCCTAAAAATGACATTTGATTTTAGGTCAGTCCAAATTTCCCCGAGAGCAGGCCAAGATCTCAAAACTTTGAGCACTAAGTATCAAGCGAACGATCCCTCGTGAGAATTGCGGGAAATGAAACAAGGATGAAAGTGAAAGTCTGAAGGGTTTATTATTGGATTGTAACGTAGCGGTCAGTTTCAAGTGTTGCCGGGAAGGGGGGAGGGTGGGTCATCGTGCATCTTCCACTCTGAATGTCAGAGGACGAAAAACATCACCCCCGTCGGAAGAAGGGGTGATGGCAAGTCTTCCAAATTAAAAGAGAATAATAATAATAAAAAAAACAAAACAAAATAACAACAACAACCCTGAAACAGTTCTTTTGTATGTACACCAGTCTGCTTTGGCGCCACTATGTGTTGGGCGCGTGGCTCAGACTTTGGGGGTGAAGCTGCTGCCTCTTGTGCTGGCTGCTGGAACTGGTACGACGTGGACAGCTTGTGTATTAGCGGCGACACGCAGTTGGCCGGAATGATCAATCCTACGTGGGAGAGAGAGAGGGGCGGGGGGAGGGCAATTTAAAGTGTGACCATGGAGTCATTCATCAAGGTTTTTCCGGCAATGAAAATCGGGAGAAAGTCAATGCGGGCAGGCACTCCAGCGACCCAACTATCAACGGCGTACGTGTAGTATAATTGGTGGAATGCCACAACTTGCATTCGTTTCGGGACGATCGGAAGCGATACCCGGCCCAAGCGCTCACCGACTATCCGCTGGCCGTCCTCAGTGCGCAGACGGACGATCTGCACCTTGACGTTGGTGCCGCTGACGGGCGTGAGCACCTCCTCCAGCTCGTTCCACACGCTCAGCACTGAGCCACACAGCACGTAGTACGTGCGGCAGCGCAGGCCGATCTCGCACTGCAGCCCCACCGAGGCCTTCTTACAGTTGCCCCGCCTGCGGACATAAACGGCACACCGACATCCAGAGGCAATCTTGAGCAGTCCAAACCACATAAAACGGAGTATGTTTGTAAAATCTCAGGCCCCCCCCCCCAACAAAACCAACCATTTTCTCCTCTATTGTAAAACAGGAAAACATTCAGATCATAAGTCGTACCTTTGTTGAAACTGCCTAAAGTAACTTTTTTTTTCATTAAAAATTATTTTAATTAATCCGCTAATTCATCTGTTTTCAGAATTTTACTCTGCCAAATATCAGAATCAACCCCCGACCTCCGAAAATAAATCAATAAATCGTTATCGGTCTGACGCTATGAGATATTTTTGTGTTGCTTGATGAACAAACATACCAGAAAGCGTGCGAACAAATCTTGGCCGATGAGGTGTGCTGCTCGTTCCAGTGTTGCTTGGCGTCTTCTGACAAGACCTGACAATGAGCAACATGAAAATACTACAAATGAAAAGACTGGCCGGCATTGTGCGCAAAAGCTCTTGCGTCAAAAGAGTTCCGGGGAACCTTCTTAAACTTCTTCTTGATGTCGGCGTACGTCTCCAGCTTGAGCTGCCTGCCCGTGTTGGGCCGGTAGACCAGGAAGAGCCTCTTCTTTGCGTTCACCTCCTTCACCAGGATGGCCGTCTTCTTGTTGTTCCGCGACTGGAAGAGTCGAACGCACAAACGCGCACACCGTTTCAATCATCTCCCAGCAGAATTGTAACCACGCGATGCGACTTAAGTCACTCGGATCCCCAAACCCCCGTGTAGAGTGAAACTTGGTAAAAAAAAAAAAAAAAAAAACAACTTGAATGTTGAGGCACTTGTAAGTCAAGGTACTACTATGATATATAATTCGATCATACCTGCACATAGAAACCATCATCGGGTCCGTTCTGTTCAGCCCAGGCATGCGTCGCTTCCTCCCAGGACATCCCCCGTTCCACGCCCACCTGCCCCCGCCCACACACAATTTCTCAGCAACCTCACTCAGTTTATTTTTTTGCCACAGACGTAAACAGTCATGCAATGTTCCTAAGTCCGTCCCTTTCAAATAGTGGCGGGCCTCACTTGGGGTGGGGGGGTTGTTTAGTTTGATGGCAGGGGAGGGGCTGAGGATGTTTAGGAGACCCGGGGGACCATTTTTAGGGGGGTGGGTATACAAGAAGTGTAATTTCACCGCCACTACAAAAGGCGGCAGTGGTGGGCTTTTT